CCCACTCTCTCCCTATTTATTTCAGAACCCCCTTCCCCTCCCCCATCTCTGATGAAGGGTCTAGGCCCGAAACGTCAGCCTTTCTGCTCCTATGATGCTGCTTGGCCTGCTGTGTTCATCCAGCTCTGCACCTTGTTGTCTTCAGATACCCAACTGCAGATATCCATGTCCCTTTACAAAGTAAAGGAAATGAAAGAACTTGTACCTCTACAGCAAATCTTACAATCTCAGGTTATCGCTACATCTCGGGAAACAAGCTATTTTTGAAGTCTAGTCACTGCTGTTTTGGAGGGAAAATGAGAAATGAACCCCACCCTGCTCAATCTTTCCTAATTATTATAACCTTTCAATTCTGGTATTTTCTTTACATCTTGTCCAATGCTTCTATGACAGTTTCATAACATGGAGACCAGTCCGATTCACATCATTCCAAGTGTCTTTGAGAAAATGTCTTTACAAGTTTGAAGGAAGTTTGCTGCTTTTCATTCCTACCCAACTACAAATGAATCTCAGTGTTTAGTTTGTGGTTTTATGGCTTCACTAATTTGCATCACCGCTTTCAGTGATTTGTATACCTGAATATTCCTCCCAGAATCCCCTCAACTCTCATTTTGATACTCATTTTCCATGAACTATGTGTCTTTTTAAAATTTTTCTTACCAAAATATATATTAATACCTGAAACTTACCTAATTTGAAATAAATTTGTCATTGAGATGCAAGTTTATTGCTCTGTCTTAAATTGCTTAGAATATAAAGAACAGCAGGGAATGACTAAATGTTTAAGTAGGTGGAGAATATTAGAACATAACAGTAAGCTGGCTAAGAACATAAAAATGGATAGCAAAAGTTTCTACAGGTATTTAAAAAGGATAAAAATTAGTAAAGTGAGTGTTGGTCATCTGGAGACTGAGAATGGGAAGCAAACATAAGATAATGCCACATGAAATCAACAAATATTTTCCTTCTCTCTTCATTATAGGGAATACAAAAAAGTTCCATTAACATTTCAAGACCACACTGAAAGAATGGTGCTCCTTGTGAAGTTTAATGAAATTTGATGACCCACCACTGTATTAACATCTGGGGGAGTTGCTGAGAAAGACATGAAATTTGTTTTGATCACATTTGCTATCTGATGTGCTCTTTGGGGTGTTCAATCACTTATATTTACATGGTGATTCTTTCTGTTAGAAATACAATAATATGTGTATTATTCTGAGTGGGGCATATGCAGGCCATGAGGTTACAGATTGTGTTTAAGTACAATTCTACTGCTATTGATGACGCACAGCATCTCATGGGCACCCAGTCTCGAGTTGCTAGATCTGTTTAAAGTCTGTCCCATTTAACATGGTGATAGTGCCATACAACAAGATGGAGAGTATTCTCAATGTGAACACAGGACTTTGACTCAACAAGGACTGCATGGTATAAAAACCGAAAGAACTGCAGATGCTGTAAATCAGGAACAAAAACAGAAGTTGCTGGAAAAGCTCAGCAGGTCTGCCAGCATCTGTGAAGGGAAAAACAGAGTTAACGTTCTGAGGAAGGGTCACTGGACCCGAAATGCGAACTCTGTTTCTTCCTTCACAGATGCTGCCAGACCTGCTGAGCTTTTCCAGCAACTTTGTTTTTGTAAGGACTGAGGGGTGGTCACTTTTATTGCTACTGCCATGGACAGATACTTCTGCAGCTGGCAGATTGCAAAGGATGAGGTCAAAAATATTTTTCACTCTTGTTGGTTCCCTCACCACCTGCCACAGACCCAGCCTAGCAGCTATGTTCTTTAGGACCCAACCAGCTCAATCAGTAGTACTGTTGTCGAGCCACTCTTGGTGGTGAACATTGCGATCCCCCACCCAGAGTACATTTTGCACCGTTGACACCCTTAGTGCTTCCTCCAAGTGCTGTTCAACATGGAGTACAAGGGGGTGCTTTTGCTAACGCTATTGGGGAGGGTTTAAACTAATGTGGCAGGGGGATGGGAACCAAATGAGGAGGTTAGTGGACAGTAAGGAGGTAGTAACTAAAGGATGTAAGGAACTAGATAATGAAGTCAGTGTGACTAACTTGAAGAGTAGGCAGAGAGCAGACGATGAACGCAAAGGGACAGGTGGTCTGAGGTGCATTTGATTTCATGCGAGAAGTGTAGTAGGTAAGGCAGATGAACTTAGAGCTTGGATTAGTACCTGGGAGTATGATGTTATTGCTATTACTGAGACTTGGTTGAGGGAAGGGCAAGATTGGCAACTAAATATGCCCAACATTGACTGGGATTCACTTAGTGTTAGGGGTTTAGATGGAGCAGAATTTGTAAAGGGCATCCAGGAGGGTTTTATAGAGCAGTATGTAAATAGTCCAACTCAGGAAGGGGCCATACTGGACCTGGTGTTGGGGAATGAGCCCGGCCAGGTGGTTGAAGTTTCAGTAGGGGATTACTTTGGGAAAAGTGATCACAATTCCGTAAGTTTTAGAATACTCATGGACAAAGACGAAAGTGGTCCTAAAGGAAGAGTGCTGAATTGGGGGAAGGCCAATAATAGCAAAATTCGGCAGGAGCTGGGGAATGTGGATTGGGAGCAGCTGTTTGAGGGTAAATCCACATTTGGTATGTGGGAGGCTTTCAAAGAGACGTTGATTAGAGTGCAGGACAAACATATCCCTGTGAAAATGAGGGATAGAAAGGGCAAGATTAGGGAACCATGGATGACAGGTGAAATTGTGAGACTAGAAAAGAGGAAAAAGGAAGCATACATAAGGTCTAGACGACTGAAAACAGACGAAGCTTTGGAAGAATATCGGGAAAGTAGGACCAATCTGAAATGAGGAATTAAGAGGGCTAAAAGGGGTCATGAATTATCTTTAGCAAACAGGGTTAAGGAAAATCCCAAAGCCTTTTATTC